GGTCATTAATGGTCATTAGAGGTCATTAATGATCACTAATAGTCATTAATGGTCATTAGAAGTCATTAATGGTCATTCGTGGTCAGCAATGGTCAGCAATGGTCATTAGAAGTCCATAATGGTCATTAATGGTCATTTGTGGTCAGCAATGGTCACTAGAAGTCATTAATGGTCATTCGTGGTCAGCAATGGTCAATAGATGTCCATAACAGTCATTAATGGTCATTAGAGGTCGTTAATGATCACTAATAGTCATTAATGGTCATTCGTGGTCAGCAATGGTCATTAGAAATCCATAATGGTCATTAATGGTCATTAGCGGTTAGCAATGGTCACTAGAAGTCATTAATGGTCATTCGTGGTCAGCAATGGTCATTAGAAGTCATTAATGGTCATTCGTGGTCAGCAATGGTCATTAGAAGTCCATAATGGTCATTAATGGTCATTAGACATCATTAACAGTTGTTAATGTCCAGAAATGGTCATTAGAGTTCATTAACGATCACTAATAGTCATTAATGGTCATCAGAAGTCATAAATGGTCATTAGTGGTCAGCAATGGTCATTAGAGTTCATTAACAATCATTAATAGTCATTAATGATCATTAGAAGTCATTAATGGTCATTAGAAGTCATTAATTGTCATTAGTGGTCAGCAATGGTCATTAGAGGTCTTTAATGGTCACTAATAGTCATTAATGGTCATTAGAAATCATTAATGGTCATTAATGGTCATTAGAACTCATCAATGGTCAGCAATGGTCAACAATTGTCATTAGAGATCGTTAATGGTCATTAGTGGTCATTAATGGCCACCATTGTTCATTAATGGCCACCATTGGTCGTCAGAGGTCATTAACCATCATTAATAGTCATTAATGGTCATTAGAAGTCATTCATGGTCAGGAATGGTCATTAGAGCTCATTAATGGTCATTAATGGTCATTGGAAGGTTCTGAAAGGTCCTGGAAGCTCCAAGAACTCCCAGAAGGTCCTGGAAGGTCCTGGAAGCTCCCATGACACCCCTGAACCTTCCAGAAGGTCCCAGAAGGTCCCAGAAGTTTTGGGAAGGTCCCGGAAGGTTCTGGAAGCTCCAGGAACTCCCAGAAAGTCCTGGAAGGTCCCAAAAGGTCCTGGAAGGTTCCAGGAGCTCCCAGAAAATTCTGAAAGGTCCTAGAAGGTTCTGGAAGGTCCTGGAAGCTCCCATGACACCCCTGAAGCTCCCAGAAGGTCCCGAAAGGTCCTGGAAGCTCCCAAAAGCTCCCAGAAGTTTGCAGAAGGTCCTGGAAGGTCCCAGGAATTCCCAAAAGGTCCTGAAAGGTTGCGGGAGGTCCCAGAAGGTTCTGGAAGCTCCAGGAACTCCCAAAAGGTCCTGGAAGGTTCCTGAAGCTCCCAGGAACTCCCGGAAGGTTTTGGAAGGTCCTGGAAGGTTCTGGAACCTCCAAGGAGCTCCCAGAAGGTCCCAAAAGGTCCTGGAAGGTTCCTGAAGCTCCCAGGAGCTCCCAGAAGGTCCCAGAAAGTTCTGAGAAGTCCTGGAAGGTCCCAGGAGCTCCTAAAAGGTCCCCAAAGGTTCCAGAAAGTCCCAGAAGGTCCCGGAAGTTTCAGGAAGGTCCTGAAAGCTCCCAGGAGCTCCAAGAAGGTCCCAAAAGGTCCTGGAAGCTTCTGGAACCTCCAAGGAGCTCCCAGAAGGCCCCGGAAGGTCCTGGAAGGTTCCTGAAGCTCCCAGGAGCTCCCGGAAGGTCCCATAAGGTCCCAGAAGGTTCCGGAAGCTCCCGGGAGCTCCCAGAAGGTCCTGGAAGGTCCTGGAAGGTCCCAAAAGGTCCCAGAAGGTTCTGGAAGCTCCCAGGAGCTCCCAGAAGGTCCTGGAAGGTTCCAGGAATTCCCAGGAGCTCCCAGAAGGTTCTGGAAGGTTCCGTAAGGTCCTGGAAGGTTCCAGAAGCTCCCAGGAGCTCCCAAAAGGTCCTGGAAGCTCCCAGAAGGTCCTGGAAGCTCCCAGAAGGTTCCGGAAGCTCCCAGGAGCTCCCAGATGGTCCTGGAAGGTTCCGTAAGGTCCTGGAAGGTTCCAGAAGCTCCCAGGAGCTCCCAGAAGGTCCCGGAAGCTCCCAGAAGGTCCCGGAAGGTTCCAGAAGGTCCCAGAAGCTCCCGGGAGCTCCCAGAAGGTTCCGGAAGGTCCCGGAAGGTCCCGGAAGGTCCCAGAAGGTCCCGGAAGGTTCCAGAAGGTCCCGGAAGGTTCCAGAAGGTCCCAGAAGCTCCCGGGAGCTCCCAGAAGGTCCCGGAAGGTTCCAGAAGGTCCCGGAAGGTTCCGGAAGGTCCCGGAAGGTCCCGGAAGCTCACCCGGTACTCTTTGATCTCCTCCTGCAGGATCTGGTCGGCGTCGGCGTAGACCTCGACCTTGCGCTGCTTCTCCAGCTTCCGGCGCAGCCGCGACAGCTCCTCCTGCGGGGCCCCGAAATTCCCAAAATTGTCCCAAAAAATTCCCAAAACTGTCCCGAAAAAATCCCAAAACTGTCCCGAAAAGAATCCCCCAAAATTCCCAAATAAATCCCCAAAAAACCCCAAATTTCCCCCAAAAAACCCCCAAAATTCCCCCCAAAAATCCCAAATAAATCCCCAAAATTCCCCAAAATTCCCCCCAATTCCCAAATAAATCCCAAAAAAACCCCAAAATTCCCCAATAAACCTCCAAAACCCCCAAAATTCCCCCAAAAATCCCAAATAAACCCCAAAAAATCCCCCAAAAATCCCAAATAAATCCCCAAACAACCCCAAAATCCCC